TGTCACTTAGTATGGACCGTGAAGCCATCAAGATCGTTAATTGGAATGCTTGCTCCTTGAAAAGCAAAAACATCGATTTATCAACGAACGGCACATCCACATAGCCGTCTTCACCGAGACTCACTTGATGCCCGAGCTGAACGTCTTCCTTCCCGACTATGGCTCGTAAGGCTTGACCGCACCAGCTCCGGGGGAGGATGAGTGGCCATCGCTGCGAGACGGAACATCAGCTGCCGGCTACTACCAAGCTCCCAGCTGAAAACTATCGAAGACATCGGAGTTGAGGTGAGCACATCGCTTGGTCTAATCACCATCATCGCGGTCGACTGCCCCAAGTAAACCAACATTAGGGACGGCTCGGCCGTAGACCTCCGAAGAGACATCATTAAGCTAACACGACGGTGGCAACATTGCATCATCACTGTCGACCTGAGCGCCAAGCATCAAGCCTGGGGCAATACTCGGCGAAACAGTAACGACACAATCTTGTACAACGATCTGCAGAAAGCCCACTACAACATCCTGTGTCCGGACACTCCCACCCGGTTGAGTCGATCCGGAGTTCATGCCACCATTGACATCTTCATCAGCAACATTGGCGATGACATCTCTCAACCTATCGCCTATCAGGAACTGAGTTCGGACCACTATCCGGTGGTGACCGAAGTAGGTTCCTCGACCAATAGGTTTCAAGTTTCCCGGCGAAGTTACCATCGTGTCATCTGGCAGCAGTACCAGCGCTGTGTGGAAACTAACGATTTGAAATTGGCTGACTACTTGACTAGCCTATTGGACCCAAGCAAATAGATTAACGTACCCCATTCTAGTCGATATTCTAGTACTACACTATGTTTGTTTTGATTTGTGGACACAGCAATCGACTATGACGTCCTACCGGAGTCTTTCGAAGAAGTCGATCGGTGTCTGCAAACCATCGAAAACGCGATATCCCGTGCCAGGGAGCAACACAAATCTTGACAGCCCAACCAAAGATCTTATCAGGCTCCGTAACACCATTCTTAGGCAGTTCCAGCGTTCTGGGCTGCCCCATTTGAAGACCAATGTCAATAGGCTAATGAAAATTGTCCAGGCCAGGTTGGTGGAACTCAGAAATAACGATTTTGCCTACAAGATTTGCTCTCTCCCAGATTGTGCAAAACCATTTTGGAAGATGACCAACATTTTGAAAAATAAGTCGAGACCGACCCCTCCGCTTTCTTCTGTTGACCAGAATTTGGACCCATCCCTACTCATAACGCCAGTTGAAAAGACCAATGCTCTTGGACAACATTTTGTGATTTCACATAATCTTGACCATGGTGAGCCCCCATGAGCCTGTCGTGCTGAAGGCAATGTCTAAAGTCACTGACACCTCCGTAAGAGTGATTGATGATAGTAGAATATCGGCTGATGAGGTCATAGCAACTATTAGAAACACTTACAACATGAATGCCGCGGGTATGGATGGGGTAGTCAACCTCGAGTTGAAAAACTTGAGTATTGACTTCTTCAACAAATGTTTGAAGTTTGGCTACTTCCCTGCATGCTGGAAGTTAGCCTATGCGATTCCAATACGCAAAAATCCTACCAGTGTCGAAAGCTATCGCCCCATCAGCCTCTTGTCCTCCAGCTCGAACCTATTCGAAAAGTTGATACTCAGCCGTCTGCTGGTGTTTTCAAATGATAATAACATCTTTCTCAAAGAGCAATTCGGGTTTAGGAAACGCCACTCTACCATCCACCAACAGCGGAACAAGTCCGTTTCCAATACATCTGCCATGGCATTGTTGGACCAACAATCAATACGAAACTAACGATTTTAAATTGGCTCACTACTTGACTAGCCTATTGGTCCCAAGCAAACGATTAACGTACCCCATTCTAGTCGAAATTCTAGTACTACACAATGTTTGTTTTGAGCGGCTATGAAAGTTTGTCAGATAAAATGAGGGGTTATTGGATTTTCCTATGTTTCGAGGGGTGAATCGATTAGCTTGGGACCGAAGAGAGTACCAGAGCTGAGCCAAAAAGTTGAACACGTTATTTCGGGACCTTCAAGTCTTAGAGTTACCTCTATGGTTGGACGTCGAGAAGGCGTTCGACAATGTCTGGCATGATGGCCTAGTGTACAAGCTGCATCGATACATCTTTCCGATCTACCTCATGAAGATCATCAAAAACTTCTTGTCGGGCAGATCATTCCAGGTCTACTTGAACAATGTCCCCTCTGATACGTTCAACGTAGATGCAGGGGTCCCTCATGGTAGCCTGCTTGGGCCTATCCTATTCAACATTTTCACGTCAGACGTTCCTCCCCGGCCGGGCGGTGGTATCCTGTCAATGTTCGCAGATGACACCTCCATCATCTATAATGAGGATCACATTATAGATCTTCCGTCTGACTATTTGAAGAGCTGGAAGATTTGTATTAATGCAGCTAAAACACAAACCAGTCTATTTCCACACTCGAATTCACCTCGGCTTGTTCCACCTGCTAACGTTAAAGTCCATCTTGATAGCACTCCCATTGAATGGTCGTGTGAAGTAGTCCACCTTGGTCTCACCATCGATAGCAAATTGCTATTCCGATCCCAAGTGGACAAGACATCCACCCAGTGCAACATCTTGATCAGGTCGCTCTACCCTCTGAGAAACAGGAAGTCCACCCTGTTCCTCAAAAACAAGCTTGCTGTCCACAAGCAGATCATTCTGCCGGCTATTGAGTATGGTATGCCAATCTGGGAGAGTTGTGCCGATTGCGTCACACTAGAATAACCAATTAACTAGAACGAAGATGAAGAGCCAAAGGCTAACCAATTGAAATATTTTAACCAAATGTTGAAACATAAAAAACCAACAAATAAACGTAAATTTTACTACTACTAGATGTTCAAGGAACATTAGAGCGATTTTCCGCCCACTAGTTTCTGTTATTCGCACCAGTAGAGTACGGTCAACCGACGGAAACTAAAACTAACTAAAACTAAATTGGCTCACTACTTCACTAACCTATTGGTCCCAAGCAAATCGATTAAAGTACCCCATTCTAGTCGAAATTCTAGTACTGCACTATGTTTGTTTTGACTCTCTATGAAAGTTTGACAGATAAAATGAGGGGTTCGTGGATTTTCCTATTTTTCGAGGGGTGCATCGATTAGTTTGGGACCAAAGATAGTACCAGAACTGAGCCAAAAAGTTGAGCACGTTCTTCGGGACCTTCTGGTCTTAGAGTTACCTCTATGGTACGCGATAAGACTTCAATGGGAGGGCGCATCGTTATTTTAGGCAGATTTACATGTTAAGGGCGCAGGGTGCGACTACTAAGCTTAAATTTTAGGAACACATCACCGGGAATAATGTGAACTAGTCTAAAACCAAAGATATCAAATCAAGAAGACTGGCAACTCAGATACAGTAGCGGTGCGCTCGAGTGAAGGTGGAAGCAACGCATAGAGAAATGAGCAAATACACAAACCATTCTTCTGAGGTTGTAATCTTTGATATCCAATTCGTTCGGAGCATTTACCTTTTCGCGGCAAATGACGCGATTGTTCCGGTCATATAGCGGTCGTATAAGAAAATGGTAGAGTTGCCAGTCTTCTTGATATGTTGTCTTCGCTAAAACGCCACTCGATTAGAATTAACGATGAAACAAAGATGATGAACCAAATAGGCTAATCAAATGAAATGTTAAATCAATGTAAAATCATACTAAACAGAATTAAACGTGATTTTACTACTAAAAAAAAATCTAGTCTTCTTGATCTGTTGATCGAAAAGTAAAAATGTATCACGTTGGCCAAATTAGATTCAAGTTTCAAATTATTTTTTCATAACAGTCATGGTCAAAAATGCATCCGGCTCCGACTCCGATCCCACGACTCAGACTCCGACTCCACAGCTCTGAAAAACACAAGCCCTTTACGAGTGTGGAATTAGAAAATATGCAAAGCCTACCCTAATATTTACGTTTGTAAGACTGTATCTTAACGTTGAGAAACAAACAAAAAATAACAATGCAAATTTGCCGGACCATAGCTTCCGACCAGCAACACCGCGGAAGCCGGATGTTCCGAAGCCCCCGATTGAATTAGAAGCCCACTTTTTTCCTTTTAGCAGATCCATAAAATCCTCACTCACCTACAACAAACTCATAAAACAACCTCTAGAGCACCCCCGGCCCGGCTCTCCGTAACTGGCTATTGTATGCATGGCATCCGTTGGAAAATGGGAAATTCATATCAGGAAAAGTGATAAAATCGATTGAACACGTTTCACCATCCGCCGCCGCGGAGCGAAAAACTGACCCAAAGTAAAAGACGAAACGGAACTTGGTCCGCCCGGTGAAACCTTTCCGTTTCACTGTTCGCTGAGCTCGCCATTAAAATTGATGTTACTTCCTTTTCGTCTGGGAACCGGAACATAAAATCCTGCCCGCGCTTTGAGCACAGACGGAGAAGGTTGTTCTGGCAGTTCTGGCTCTGACTCTGTGTCTCTAAAGCAAATACTAATAAAATTTTCCTGCTCGATGCTAACCAGAGAGACCTTTGCTCGATTTTCGGCCAAGAAGCAGCAGCAGCCGAGTTCAGTCGTTTTCATGGTTCTTACCCAAACCGGTGGTGAATAGATGGACTTCTGCCTGTCGGTCTCGATGTGCTCTTATTTCGACTTTTCTGTATCGTTTTTACTCTGCATCCTACCGTGAATGAGCTTTTATGCATTTACTTGTTTATGGATTGAAATTTTTATTTCAGCCATCTTCTTTTCCATTCACAGAAAACGAGTCCTTTCAAGTTAGCAAAAAATAAACCCAAATAAAAGACATCCCTGGTTGTGTGCAGTCTGTACAGATTCGGAATTCGGGTTGCGATTATCCACATGGTTCTCTTTGTTCGGGAGCAGCGTAGCTCCCAGACGATTTTTTGTTTTCAAGTCCAAACTCGGTCGGTTGGAATTCATGGCAGGGGATTAAAGGTTGGATACGATGAAGAAAAACTTACCCCATTCTTTTCGCAGACACCGCCGGCGTTCTTGAGGTCACCGGTCCAGGCCAACCCGAGGGTACCCATCTCGAAGTCCCGATAGGTGAACATGTACGCCAGACAGAACGCGTCGTAATCTTCCTCTGAAAAAGACAAGAAAAAAGTTTGTTTAGGCTCTGTGTTGCATTTGGTGAAATTTCAATTAAATCTGATACGTCGAAAATAAATTAAAGACATGGTTCCCGAAAATCCGTCCCCTTCGCGTTTTCACTGGCACCAATAAGTTGGAAAGTTTGATGGATCATGTAAAAAAACAGGAAATAACCAAAGTAAGCCTTGCACCCGATTCTATCTCCAGAACTGTCACATTTCGATCCACACAGTCCAAATTCCAAGTGAATTTCAAAATTTTCATAAAATGATCCCCAAATCCTACTGCAACTGTTGCGAAATCCATTGCGTTCCACCCTTCAGCTACCAACTGCTGCAGGACTGTACCTGGGCCGTAGGCCCACCACGAATTCCCATCTACCGGCGTCAAACGCCGTGCCGTTCCCTGTTTCGGAAGTTCTTCCTGCGTGGCGACGTTCCCATCTCCCGCTACCACGGCCCGCAAGCGTCCCGTCAGTTCATCAAGTGGCACGTCCCACCCGAGAAACTGGACTTCCAACGCTACCTACCGCTGTTCTTCGATGGGTAAGTACATACAATCCCAGGTTGATTGAATTACAATTACAAAACCATCCACTTCCTACGCAGGTTATGTGAAACCGCCTTCCCCTACCGGGAGTTTGCCCGCAACGGGATCCGAGATATGATTGCCGTGGCTAAGGAAAAGCAGGTGAGTGACGTTGTGTGTGTTTGTGACATAACCTCAAAAAGTAGGTCAACTGAAGGATCAAACAACTTGGGGTTGGGAGTAAATCAAAATTTTCTCTGTCCTTGTGTTGAATCGGTGCACGTCAATTAACTCGGTTGACAGCATCCAGGATTTTGGGTAACCCGGAAATGATGTATTACCTGGTCAGGGGACAGTAGCTTCTACATCATCATCTATCAACATGTTAGAAACTAAGCAAATCTCACTTTAATTGGACATTTGAGTGTCATTCGTCCGGAATTTTCGGGGAAACCTTGGTCGTACATTTGGATGCATCTGTCTGAGCCGTACCGAGATTAAATCCCTTTTTTCGGTTGGATAATCCCTTCAGCCGCTCGCTCGTCATCCGACGGTGGGGAGGATTTGTTTTCGCCACCTAACTACCTACCTACGTGAGAGCTATGCCCGCGTAGGTTCAGGATCCAAACCACAACTTTATGAGTGATCTGGTTGCTGTCGTGATGTGGATTTGGAAATGCACAGAAAGGAAAATCCTTTTTCGGTTTTGAGCAGTTCCACGCCAACTGACGAATCGATTGTATTTTTCCCTCTCCGAATTCGATGAAAAATTCGCATAGTTGGCGATGACGGCGACTCTGTAGCTCTTTACTTCTATGATAAAATCCATAAGCAAGCGTCAGACTGTGCGTGAAACATGGCGGACTTCGTACTACACTTTCACTCCACCGAAAAATCCCATAAGAAACTGTCAATATTTTCTAGAAGAGACAATTTTTCGACGGTGCCGTCAACGCCAATAGAGATCTTCAAGCACAATCTCACGAAAACTCAAGTCCAACGTCTATAATACAGGTATACCAATTTGTAACTCACTACTCTACTACTCACTACTTGACTAGCCTATTGGTTCCCAAGCAAATCGATTAACGTACCCCATTCTAGTCAAAATTCTAGTGCGACACTATGTTTGTTTTGATTCGCTATGAAAGTTTGACAGATAAAATGAGGGGTTCGTGGATTTTCCTATGTTTCGAGGGGTGCATCGATTAGTTTGGGATTGAAGAGAGTACCAGAGCTGAGCCAAAAAGTTGAGCACGTTTATTCGGGACCTTCTGGTCACAGAGTTACCTCTATGGGTATACCTCGATATAACGTAACTGTCACTTTTGACCGTCATCGTCGATATCTCTCAAATAACAATTCAATCATGTAGGGGAAATGGCTCTAATGTTGGCCTATGGATCTAAGATTGGGTCCATCGCTAAAAATCTGCTATTTATCAATTTTATCTAGATGAACGCGCCATTGGGACGGTACTAATGGTTTTTTTGGTCGCTATTGAAAATTTAGTCGATTTCAGAATGGGCTCAAATTAGGGGCATTTAGGCCGACATTACATCCATTCCCCCTAAATCAAAATTACCAATAGATGGAGGTTTGTCTTGACTTTCCGACGGAATCATTACTTTGCTTGATTGAATGATCGTTTGCTAGAAATCGGCGATGGAAGTCAAATGTGACAGTTACGTTATATCGAGGTATGCCTGTATATAAAAAAAATGAAGAAGAAGATAACCAAAAAGCTATTGTGATATCACAACTACAGTCGAATTTCGCTCGTTGGGCTATCAAGTGGGCTACGTTTTAGTTGCGCTCCTGTTAGTTGGACATAGAGTCGTTGATAGAGACGCGCTTAGAAAATTTCTGTCAAAACAGCAGCACGGTTTTTGAGGGATCTTTTGGTAATATCTCTGGCAACCATGCTTCTTCGAGTGGCTTCAAATAACTTTCATACAGTGCCGGAATGCTGTTGAGAAAATTGGAACGTTCGACCGGAACTGAATAAAAATGAAGTGCGTGGCAACATTTTTCAAAAATAAAGCGAAGACGAGAGATGACAGTCGCTCCCTGACAGTATAACTTATGTCATATTTTACTGTTTTGCTTGCAGCGCAATCATTTTTATTAACATGCAACTAATTAAAACTCACTAATAAATGTTGTATTTAATTGAATTAATAATAAATAAATAAATAAATAAAAACAGATATCAAATATTTCGTGAAAATAATCAAACACTTTTTTCATCATTGACAACCTGGGGGTGCGACACATCCAAATCTCAATTTTAGATGGTCACAAAATTTCACGTTATCGAATCAATCTATGATAAACCTGTTTCCATTTCTTGTATCTAAATCCATCTACTCGCATTGCTCTCCAACTTTTTGCAGGAAATCTTCAAAATCTCCATCAATCTTCTTTCTATCTACTAAGCCTGCGCTCATCTCACAACAGCAAAGCGATTTTTTCCTGCATCTTAAATAGAGTCGCCCCCCTCGAACAATACTTCTTTCTGGTGAATTACGCGAACAGTAATGTTTATTTACTTTGCTCGTTTGGTTCAGCGTTCGACGGTTCGTTTGGTTTTTCTTGCTTCAGTCTATGCCTGTCATTTCCGAAACTGTTTATTCCATTTCGAAGGGCTCATGGAGGAACAATTTGGAAAGTTGCTAAAAGATTTTGATCATAATAAACAATCGGTGTATTCCTCAATAAATTTGCAGCTTGACAGCTCAGCACAACTAACGAAAGCCTTTCGCTAATGGGGTGTTTACACTTAGGCTATTTCACTAGCGCTAATGAACTCGCTGCTAGCAAAAAAGCTCACTAGCATAATGTAAACAGGGCATCAGCGTCTACCAGCATGAAATTCGTGCTAGTAGTAGTTGGCGAGTACACTAGCGCTAGCAAATCCGCACAGATGTAAACACCCCATAAGTGGGCTTGGGTTTAGCCCAACGAGCGAAAGTTGACTATACAGTCAAATTTCGCTCTTCGGGCTATGTTTAAGTGGGCTACGTTTTAGTTGGACTGTAGCCCACCTAAATCAAAGTCAAACGGCATTTATGGCAGTACTGTTTTCTTTTCGAAGGGCTTTTGTATGAACAATTTGAAAAGTTGCCAAAGGATAGTGATGATAATAAATAATCGGTGTATCCCTCAACAAATTTTCAGATTGACAGCTCAGCCCAACTAACGAAAGCCTGGGACGGGACTTGACAATCGGGTGGCGATTTCGAGCCAATTTTCGGTCAAATCCGAGCCAGTTTCTGATTGGTTGATTTGGCGGTAACAATCGTGGAATAAAAAGGACAGAGGGATCGCATCAATCTGGCTGGAATCAATGCTGACGTCAATGACGTTGTTAATTGTTTATATTTGTGAAAGAAAAGTTGAAAAATTGAGTGCACTGCGTGTTTTAATCGATGGATATTGTTGTTTTTTTTTATGGTTGTTTTTATTGTGCTGAGTAAAAATGATGTACAAGCTGCTAAACTGCGGCAGAAACTCCGAATAAAATCCAAATTAAAATAGAAAAAAATTACATTCCTGGCATCATTGATCAACTCCGTCAAACACCACGCACAACTTTCCGACGGGCATTCTTCAAAAACATTAAGAAGAGCGAGAAACTCGATTGTCAAGTCCTAGAGAAAAGGTGACAATACGGGGGCAATTATGAACAGGGCGTCACAATATAAGCTTCAATCGACCAAATCCATGCGACGAAGAGACTGCTGGCTTTCTTTTTCTGTTAAAGTCGAACAGCTTCGTAGCATTCTAGAACCTCAGTCGGCGTGCACAAACAAATGTTCAATCGCTTGTCATTCTTTCTCCCGTCGCTCCATTGGTCTTCCTTTCAAGCTTCGGTGAAACGAATGAGCGAAAGAGCGCTCGACTTTGATAGTTTTCTCTTTCATGAAACACATCAACAGAGGTTTCATGACGTATATGACGGAAAATGAAATAACACATTTAAAGCATTTCTCACGTGAGAACACTTGAAGATTACACGTAATATTTTTAATTTATCTTCCATCCATATATTTATCTAAAAAAAAAATGATCGAAACGGGACATAACGCATTTTAAACAAATTGAAAGAGCGGTGATAGAGTGTTCGTGAAAGGGGATTGAAAGCCATAATGAGGTTTCGTTTAACTAGAAAATCAACGTTAGTTTCATTGAAAGCGATGAGCAAAGCAACGACGAGAAGTTCCACAGCCAGCCTTTCCTTCTAAGCGTCCTGCTTTTTTATTTTCGTTTCTTGCTGATAGTCTAGCCTAGGCGTTATAGAAATGAAGCGTCGAACACGTATGTACGAGAGAAACAAAACACGAGTTCATTTTAGAGCTTCGAAAATGTAGAGCCCTGATTATTGAGTTCTCCAAGCAGGATCTCACGAACACTACACTATGTAACCCTCGTCTAGGGTGACAATTAATAACCCACCCTTTTAACGTGTTTGCCATGAGCGTGTGCCTTGTCTGTTATGATTTGTTTTTGTTTTGGTCGCACGCTCGGCAATATACTCACCACTGCTTTATTTGTAAATATTTTAATTTATTATTTTCATCGTAGATTTTATTCGTGTAGGCATGTTTTTAGGATTAGAATATAGTGTAAAAATTATCGTTCAAAATTGTCTCGCGTGTAGAATAAAGTTAGGTCCCGTTTCTCCTCCCGCTGCAAAAGAAGGCGAAAAACATAAGCAGCACAACATTCGAGCGCGGTTGCAGGAGAACGATGGTGGTTGTTGTATTGTCAGTGATTGTCAGCTAAGACAGGAAAGAAAGTTACGAGCCACGGTTGGAAGTCGACGCGGTTTTTGTCCGGTCCGTTTCAGTAAAAACGAGAGTTGGAGTGCCGTTTTCGTGGCGTGTGTCAGCTGGAGGGATAATTCCCAGCATCATCGCGTGAAAGTGACGTCGTTTCCTTGAAAAGTGCCGTGGTTCGTGAGCTGAAGTGAAGGGTGTCGGATCGCCGCCAAGGGAAGCTAAATTTCGAGGATTTTTCCGCTTCCCGGCTAAACCCCAAGGATCCCCGAACACCCACCGTCCTCACTGCGGTGGCTCAGCCAGTAGAGCCAGTCTCGCCACCGCAGTTAAGAGCCAAGGAAGGACGGAGCAGGCCGAACCGAAGGAGCGTTCGCCTGG